CACCAGCATAACGTCTTCCGTCAGAGGCTGACGCACCTGGTTTCAGATAAGGTGGTGGCACTTCTCTCACGTGGAGTGACAAGTCAGCTTGGGGAGTTTGTGTCAGCTTGTTTTGAGCTGCGTGGCTGACGCAAGTAATAGGAGAAGAGTACTTTTTAGGAAATGTTTCTGCATTGGTACGGAAATGAACTATGGAAAGACGGAGTATCCCTGGGTTGTTTGTCTGCTTGAGTCAGATTTCAGCTGAGTGAATGGGTTGCAAAGGATAATGTGAACGGCTATTTGTCAAAATTTACTTCCTTTTCACATTTTGAAAGAAATGTGAACGATGTGAAAAATAGAAAATGTGAAATAAGAAAGGTAAAAACACATAGGCTTAATGCCTTTAATTTTTCAGTGTTTAAATAATTTATATTTGTTTTAGTAATGATTTTCACATTGTATAAATAAAGATAGGAGGTTAAAGCCATGCCATACAGATCTTAATGTCTGGGGAAATGAATAAATTTGTTTATCTTAATGATGCGTGTATCTTTTTATCTTGAAAGGCTAGATTTTATTAAAAAAAACGAACAACACAACCCTTGAAACTCTATTCAAGGCATATTTTCCCATCTAATAAATAGTGAAGTGCTTTAGGTTTTGCTTTTAAGAAGGGATCAGTAGTATTGTTGTACATGTAAAATCAAAACCATTCCTAAGTAATGAATCTCCTTCAATGGCAATTACCTGGCTCTTTCTTCACTCTTTTAAGCCGTGGTACTTCAGGGTTATGCCTTTTATTCTCAAAGTCCAAGTTAGGTGCTTCAAGCTGATCATCTTATAATCATCATGTTGTATTTCACTTTTGCTTTAATTGATTCTCACTTCATTTATTTCATTGTACTCCATTGATAGCAGCATGCTGCCTCTAATTTAATATCTCAATCATATTTCAGCAGTTTTGTTAGGATGTAATTTATGTTCTGAATCAGAGGGGCAAGCTAGTGTAGTGGATCTAACATGCTTTTAAATTCATTTACCTATCACAAATTAATATTAAACAATTAATTTTGAGGGTTTTATAAGTTGAAAGCTCATTTCACAGGATTGTTCAAATACATTTCATTTTTTCATGTAATGATATAAAATCATTTATTTTACTAATGTATAAGGCAATTTCACCATACTCTGAAAAATCTGTTAATAAAGAACAAGGTTAGGTCAGCTTAGAATGATCTTACTTTAGGGTGCTTCTCAACAGTCTTTTTCTATTCTGCTCAGACATTAGTCTATTTATGTAGGCTACATGGTAGAGTTTTAAACCAGATTTAACTGCATTTTAGTGAATCGGTATGTGTTAAAATAGAATAGAAATTCAGAAATTCAAATGAAAAGAAGGCCAAGTGAATATTTTGATTTTAATATAGTAATGCTATGTTTTTTTAAAATTTACCTTACCCCCACCCCCCCCTTCTGTAGTCTCATTTATCTAATGTTTCCTTTGCTGGTCATGTCCTATACCAAATTATCATGTAAGCAAATGAAGTGAAATATATTGATCTGCTAACAGACTGTTAAGAAGTAGGAAGGTATAATATATCTTGGTATTGTTCAAGCATTTTTAGCTTATGGTCTGTTTTAAATTAAAAATTTAAATGCATCAGTGAAAGAGAAGGACAATAATTAAGATTAAATACGAAGGAGGGAAGGAGAGGTTTGCCAACTGTTTATGGTTTTACAGGTGGATATTGTCAGTACAGGGACAGCTGTTGTAGTGGCACCTGAAGCAGGGCTTTCTCACCTTTGCAGATGGTGGTAAGGCCTGGGGCAACTACACGTTTGTGTGGGTGGTTTATGTTCCTCTTTCCTTGACTGTGATGCCTGTCAGTGGTGGGAGCGCACCAGAGGATGCTGTATAGCTTGGGAACTGAGGTTACAGCAATCCTTCAGGAAGAAGAACAGTTTACACAGTATGCACTCTCTCTAGGTTCAAAATAATCTTGCCTTCTCCTTGTTACAGAAGTTCTTTCATTTTTACATGGCATTATTTTCCTTCTCCATCCCATGGATTAGTTTACTAATCTATTTACTCTGTAGAAATGGGACTAAATAGCCCTGAAAGCCGAAGTTTCTTATTCTGCATGGGAGAAGCATGGTACTGATGTGACTGAAATCTTCCTCTTTTGTCAGCTGTTAAGGGAAGAGGCGATTCCTGCATGAAGCTTCTTGAAATGGTTTTTGTTAATTCTTGGGAGTAAAGCCAAGACACAATTGATGTCTGTCAGAAGTGAGTATAACTTAATTACAAGGTCAATAAAAACAAGTTAAATCTTCTGTAAATACTGTCCCCAGCTCTGGATTTCACAGAGCATTCTGTGTTTCTGCTACATGGAATGAAAACCTTTCAGGGCTGGGGCTGTTTTCATGCAGTGGCATTGCCAGACACGCTGGTAGTACTAGTAAAGAAAGAATGGAAACACGCAGGCTGGTAGCGTTACTGCAGCACGCTGGTAAAACAAATGCCCGGCAAGAACAAATGGCAGCTCTACGCAGGTACTGCCGTTGTCACTCCCTGTGCCATTCTTAGTCTGAACAGCTTTTGAGCACAGTATCTGCAGAGGTTATTATTTTTCTTCCAGGAGATGTGCAATGAAGTACAGGTGACCTACCTCTGGAAATTACCAAGATCAGCTTGCTCATAGACCTTGGAAATAAGAGCTAGCAGTTTTTTCTACTTGTGAAATGTTCTCTGATCTGTGAGGTACTTTGCTGTGATTCAGCGTTGATTGGGGTGTGATTGGGTGTGTTCAACATCCAGACAACAAAGCCTCCCTTTGTTTCAAAAGCTATGCAAGAATTTTGTTAACCTGGAATTCAGTTTTAATTACTGAGCTAGCTTTGGTACACACTTATTTCCAGTGGCAAAAGTCACGAGAATTCAAAAAGTTTCTTGGAAATTTATTTCTAAACAAGAAGCAGCCCTGTGTGCATGTATCTTAAAAGTACTTTAAGTCTTAAGGATTTTTGTTTCAGCCACTGATTTATAAGGAGTAGAAGTCATAGAAGTTTGGAGTGGCTAATTTGAGAAAATGGTGCTTCCCCTCAAGAAGATGATCTTTAAGGTGCTTGAAAATGTTTCCTCTGTTTTGTGTGCAAAAATGTGGAGTTCCTGCAGTTGCGGAAGCCCTTTGGACTTGTGTTGGCTTGTGGGGCCTTGCTGCCACCACCAACTTTGTAATGTCATTTGATAGCATATTTTTTTTTTTTTTTTACTTGTCCGTAAAGATGTTTTGTGTGCAAAATTGTGGAGTTCCTGCAGTTGCGGAAGCCCTTTGGACTTGTGTTGGCTTGTGGGGCCTTGCTGCCACCACCAACTTTGTAATGTCATTTGATAGCATATTTTTTTTTTTTTTTAACTTGCCTGAAATGAATGGTGTCTTAGTTGTGTTCCTGGTGGAGGGAAAAGCGAGGAAGGTAGAGGGAGAGCGAAAAACTGATTACTAAACATATTTGTATATTTATTTTTATATATATATATGTGTATGTGTCTGTATATAATCCCTCCAAAACAAACAAACCAACCAACCTGCTAAACCAAAAAAACAACCCAAAACAAAGTAACCCTTGAAGTATGAAACTCAAAACACCAGGTAAAGCACGTGGACAGGGTTCAGGCAGTGACAATGCTGTGCTGGGTGATGTGGCAAGAAGAAAGATGTGTGCTTGAAAGACTTGTAAAGCATGTGTGCCTTTAGTATACTGTAAATACAGCTGTGGGCAATGGTTCTCCTCATATAATCCCTTTCTAAAACTTTTTGTTAGTTTCCCTTTCTCTAGTTTGTTAACTTGCAGCTATTGAAATTAAGAGTCTTCATAGTAACAACTTTCCTAATTATTGATTAGTTTAGTATTTCCTTTTATATTTATTTGGTGGTTGTTTAGTTATTGTTTAGTTTATTTCATAGCCACTGGTGTGCACTGTGCTCACTTTTTTTCCATCCAGTTTGAAGTATTGTCATAATCACACATGAAGGACTCCTATAGGAACCTACTGTCTATTTCCCAGTGTTCTAAAGGGAAAATTTAATGGCGTAACTCAGTTCTCCTGCTGATCTGCCAAGGGAGTACAGTACTGCTGGCAAATATTGTAAATATGTCTTGTACAGGATACTGTAGTAGTGTTTCATCTTCCTCCTCCTCCTTGTTTTGAATTTTATGAACTGAACAATTTTGTCTTCAGCCATTTCTTACATTGATGCATATTTGGAATCTGAAATTACTGTGGCACAGAAATACGTCAGGGCTAAAATGACCTTTTGTGCTCTCACTGGGAAGGTACGAAATCCGAAATATTTGATTTACAGTCTTGTGCCTCCAACAGCAGGAACAGCTTTTTTTTTTTTTTTTTTTCTTCTTCTTGCCTTGGAGACAAACCAAATTCTTTAGTAAGCAGAGCCTTGCCTAATGAAAGAAGACTGGTAAGACTGGGCACTGCTTATGGGGAGTGTGGGCAAGAGACAGTACGCTTTCATACAGATGCCCGTGTAGATCCGTCTGCCTTTGAGTGTGGACAGTTAGTTTTGACTGCCTGAAAAAAACTGAAGTAACAATAGTTTTCTTTATTGTAAGCTTTTTTAATGCTTGTAAGTAGTCTTTCCTCCTCCATATAAGCATGAGGGCTATGCATGCTTATCTATATATACATCAGAAAAAATTATTTTCCTTGAAGTGTTAAGAACATTTTAAGTTAACAGAAACTGTTCTTACCTTTCATTTTGTTTCTCATTGTCTTCCTCTGAGCTGTTGCAAATTAAAGTGCAAGTATCTTTACCTCTAATGGATGTTGATTGTTTCTACACCTAAAAAAGCCCATCTAAAGAGCTGTATGCTTAATTGAAGGCAACTTGTTTAACTTGAATATTTCTGGGGCTATCTTTTCCACTGAGAGCTGGTGTGCTAAAGGAACTGAGGTTTTTAGTGTGGTGTGTTTTTTTTTTTTTTTTTTTTTTTTCTTATAGGTAAAGATAGAGTTTTCAACACCCCCTTGTGTGAACAAGGAATTGTTGGCTTTGGTATTGGAATTGCTGTTGCAGGTGCTACAGCCATTGCAGAAATCCAGTTTGCAGATTACATTTTTCCAGCATTTGATCAGGTTAGTACTAATAAATTTGAAAGAAGTAAAAAGAAATCTTACGACTGTTTAAATTGCTCTTCTGTTCGCATACTGAGTATGTGAGTTTTGCAAATACATCTGCAGCTGTATTACTAATATTTATGCATGCTTTAAGTAAACAGGAAGGTACCGAGGCAAGTTTGAAAGCTCATTAAATGATGGAAATTAAAGATGTAGTTTGAAGCAAATGGCTGTTTATTTGTTATTATTTTTGGTTTTGTGGCTGTGTTGTTTTCAGCAGCCTTAAATTCCTCAGCTGTGTCTTCCCAACACTGTCTCTCTTCTCTGTGCTGCTGCAGCCAGCCATGTGTCCACAGGACAAACTACAGATTTGAACTGGGCTGACTGACAGTGTGGGAATGGGGAAACAACTGGGTTATATGGCTGCTCCTGAGGCTTAGGCGTCTAACTTGAACACACTAAATTATTACTTTGTTTGCCTTGGGAGATATTTGCCTTTCCACTGACTTACAGGATTCCTTTGCTTCTAACTTGGTCCTCTGAATCCTGTGCATGGTGCAGATGATGTAGTGGCTTAATGACACATAATTAAAAGTATTTGACTGAACATTTCTTTTGTATATAAATCTTCCCAGATTGTGAACGAAGCAGCAAAATATCGTTACCGCTCTGGAGACCTGTTTAATTGTGGAAACCTCACCATCAGAGCCCCCTGGGGCTGTGTGGGTCATGGTGCACTATATCACTCTCAAAGTCCAGAAGCCTTTTTTGCTCACTGTCCAGGAATAAAGGTACAGTAACTCTTATTTTAAGATTAATGTTGTTTCTTTGTTTGTTTTTTGTTTGTTTGTTTTAATGGGCCTCACTAACAATGAGTTTGCGTGCAGGCAGGGGAAGAAGAAGGGAAGTCAGTCCACAAGAAAATACCTGAATACGTTAATTAAAAACTAGAAGTTTTCAGGTTATAAAACTTAAACTGTTGAGTGTTTGAGAATTTATAGCTGTTATTGAAGTGATCTCTAGTAGACATAGCATTTTGTATTTGTGTGCTTTTTGCACTAAACCCATACATTTTACATCTGTTCTGTGCCCAGTATAATACAGAAACTAAAACCTAACACTAATAAATAGTACTTTCCTATTGTTTTTCTTTCTGCATCTGTTGTCTTAAGTGTATTATCAAATTTATTTATATGAATGGCAGTGACAGGCAATAGGCACAAACTGAAATGCAAGAGGTTCTGTTTCAACATAAGGAAGCACTTGGCATGGGTTGTCCAGAGACGTTGTAGTCTCCATCCTGGGGGTATTCAGAAGTTTTCTGCGTGTGGTCCTGGGCAGCTGGCTCTAGGTTGCTCTGCTTGAGCAGGGATATTGGACCAGATGACCTCTGGAGGTCCCTGCCAACCTCAACTGTTCTATGATTTTCTGAATGATAACTTTAGGGAAGCTTTCTGCGTGAGACAGTGGCATCCCTTGAAGCTAAGATTCCTAGCGCTTAGATGGATAACTTTCCTGGAGAAGAGGGAGGGGCAGGATCTAGTCATCTCAGCTTAAGACAAGGCTTGTTGAGGGTGATGAGGGTGTTGCTAGGCTGTTGTAATTTTTGTCTGCTGTTGTGAGGATGTATGTCTTAATGGATCAGACTTCCAAAATTATGGTATTGACTCTCTCTGTTCCATCGTAAGACTGCTCCAGAATATTTGCCGTCTTGGCTAGAAGCTTTCTTTTCATTTCCAGCTTAAATTTGCTCCTGACTAACTTGTATGTTTAATTTATCTGTCCTTCCTCATCTCATTCATATACTAAGAGAACAATGGTTTTCCCTTTGGTCTTTGTTTTGTCAGACTAAACAAATCAAACTATCAAAGAGATGTTAACATTTTCCGAAGCTCTTTTGGCACCTGTTTCATTCATTTTGTTTCAAAACAGTTGATGTAGTCATGATGTATTCCAGCTGAGTTTCTAGCAGTGATTTTTTCAATAGCACTAACACTTCCTTAGCTATATTATTGTGCTTTTTTAGGGCTGTACTGCATAGTGTTCTAGTCATCCTTTGAGCAGATAATAAATTCAGATTTGAATTTCTACTGCTGAGTTCTAAATTTATAACAAAAATGTAGTCCTTAAATGTGTGATTTTTCAGTATGTATTGTTCAGTTTGCTTTTGCTTTTGTCAGTCATGTCCTCAATGTGAACTTGGTCTTTTGGGTATCATCCTCTGTAGTGGTAGTGACTCTCAGCTTGTGAATAGTTTTTATTACTATGTTCTCACTTAACAGTGTAAATGAATAAGGTAAATAAAGTCTGTCCTAAAATTGATTGCTAGGGAGCTGCTCTAGCAACATTCATCAGTTGGGTGATTTCCCATACGTCTGCTACCAAATGCTGTGGTGAAATATTAATAGATTGCTTCTCCCTTGTTTAGAAAAATCATTTATCAAGTTGATGTGATGTGATAACAGATTTAGGTTCTGTTTTGACTCTTGTATTATTTTTATATAATTAAATGTTCTTACTCTCAAAAAAATATTTTGAAGCCGTGGAAAGTCCTGGAGGCAGTAAGTTAACATTTCTGTAGATACATGGATTTTATTTTTTTTTTTAAACAAGTGCTACAACTAATGTTTTCAGTTAGAAGGGGCCACTTCTAACTTCACAGCTATAAAAATGTTTCCTAGTAGACTTCACACTGTATGTGCCCGCTCTTTGAGATCTCTGGGGTGTAAATCAGCTGGCCCTTCTGATTTAAGGGAATTGAGCTCTTGGGTTTTTTTTTAATTTAAACTGTGATAATTTGGTAATCTTCTGTTCATAATCAACATCCAAAGTTAACTCTTCTGTTGGCAAATCAATTATACTTTTTCCTTCCAAGTATTCAGATTACATCTGGAGGCCTTGCTTAGTTTTCTCTTTGCTTGGTAATGGTTTAGGGTATTTTTTGGTATTTGTTCATTTCCAAAGTGAATGAATTTCAGGCTTCCACCACAAGCAAAGGAATTCAAATTTAAATAGCTGTTCCTTTTTTTAGTCTTCAAAACTTACAGGACTAAGATACCTTCCAGGCTTGCTCTGATCAGTCTTTACCTGAGCAACTGAGGATCATTCAGCTGATTTTTGTTGTCATATATCTACATAAATTTTACTAAACTAACATGAAATATATTTTTTTTTTTTAAATCTGACTGACTTTCTTCTGTTCCTTCTACCTCAACATGTTATTGTTAAGATGTTAGTTCTGCCTTACCGGAGGGGAGTCCATTAGTATTTTAATCATGGTGTAGAGGGGAACTATTTAAGCCTCATCAATGAACAAAATAAAACTCAAAATTTGGAGTCTGTGTTAGTAATGTAGCACTGATGTTAATTCAGTTTGTAATAACTGCTCAATCTGTACATAGATTTATTTAAAGCAAATAATTGCTTGGTTTTTAATATTAATTGAGGAAGCTTTTAGCAGAATTGCAGTTTAAATAAACTATTAAAAAATATTTTTACAGATTGTTATTCCAAGGAGTCCTCTTCAGGCCAAAGGACTGCTGCTGTCATGCATAGAGGACAAAAATCCATGCATATTCTTTGAACCTAAAATACTTTACAGAGCTGCAGGTAAAGATTTATAAGCTGTATTTTCCAATAAAGCAATGCTTTTTTTGCCCATGTATATTGTTAGTCCCAGCTAAAACAATACTGTAGGAAAAGTCTTGATTTGTTTTGTCTCTAGCTATGTTTGGGGGTTGTGTTTTTAGAGGAATTATGAAAGCTGAATAAGATCTCTCAATTTGGCTGCAAAGATAAATGAACATTTACAGTCTGATTCATGCTCAGTTAACTTTGGAAGTAGAATGCTTTGTAAAGTCTTGGCTTAAAAAAAAAAAGAAATAGAACTAAGAGCCATTATCTTTTATCAAATTGCAATTCAAATTTGACAGAAGTTAAACTACTTTCTTTTTGATAACTCTAGATACTGAAAGAAGTTTCCTGGTCAGTTTTTATTTTTCCAGAAGAACTGAACATTACCATTACCATTTTCCCAAAGTTAAGATTTCTTTGAAGTGCTTAATTTCTAAAAATCTTGAAAATCTGCCCTCTTAGGTTTTAATCTTATGTGGAAGGAAGTGTGATTGCCATTTCTTTTCTCATTTGTTTTAGTCATAGTGAAATTTTTGGTTCTAAGAAGTTTTAACAGTTATCATTATGCGTAACATGTAAGAATAGAGTAATGTGAAGATGACAGTGCTTGAGTTGGTTGTAAAAATTAGCTTGTTGCTTCCTTGGACTAGAGAAACTGGCCTCAGAACAGATAATGGATGAAAACAAATTTTGCATATGGAGATGGGCAGAGTGATTGAGTGAGCAACTAATAAAATAAAACTCAAGTTATCATTTACCTTCAGCGTTTCTATGTCATAGCTTTTTATTTCAGCTATGCTTGAATCTGTCAGTCCGATTTATAAGTTGACTCTGTGTAGACTGAAGTTGAGTGAAGGACAAAATATTTGTGTTTTACTTTGGACCTTTTAACAGCACTTTTCCATCAGTGCATCCATTTTGTTAGTAAACTTTTCCTCGTCTTAGAGAAGAAAACCAAAGAATAACACAGGAAAGATTTAGAAATCAGACATCAAAGTCACAAAAAATAGCAGAATAACTCAGGAACAAATAGGATATTTACCAGAGAAACTGCTTATTTGCTTTTATGTTTTCAAAAAAAGACTCAGAATTCCCATTAGCAATGTATTTTTAAAAGAGCAGCTATTTTTAGTGTGGTGTGGTGTGATGTGCCCAAAGGGTATTACATTCCTTCAGTTCACCGTGTTTTGAGAGCTTCGTGAGATTTGGCAATAAAGACCTCTGACCCTTCATGTAGATGAAGTAGGTTGGAAAATGAGCTTGAGTCTTAGAGTCCTTTTAAACAAAGAAAAAATGGAAGTTTAAAATTCCTGTGTGTTTAAAATGAACCTTTTTTCCCCCCCCCCCCCCAGAATTTACAAGTCACAAATACAGACTGTAGAGTTAATAAAATACTTGCTTTCATAGTGGGATGAATGGCTGCACGTCAATATCGCATAGCATTTGAGAATATAGGGAGGTTTTTGTGTTTGAGGAAATGACTTGTAAAGCAGTTGCTGGATTGTTTAGTGAACATAAATCAGCCTTGTGACTCAAATCTTCAGTAAAGACATGCTGAAATAGTGGTTAGTGTGGTTTATGTGCTGGTCAATAACCAACCGCAGTGTTGCTGCAAGATGACATTGGTAGTTTCTGAAAGACTGTGATTTCCTCCTATATTTCCTCCTAATGGCCCGATTTTCAGAGACATTACCTACATTTTTATTTTACAGTTTTTAAGAACATCAGTTTAGTGAGCTAGGCTGAAATTTGTAGCACATCTGTGTCAACGTGATGGGGATGATTGTGACAGGTAACTCTCTTGTTTTGAGACAATTTGAGTGGACTTTTTATTGTTTCTACAATATAAAGCAGGAATATTTTATTATGTGGAAGGGTTTTGATGTTCCTTTTTATTTTCGTTGAAAACCTTTCCCTCCGGCATCATTAGTTCATCTGCTTAGCTGTTTAGATGTGCTTTGTGGTTTGGGTCAGCTTGAACTGGAAGAAAAGTGGTGTCTGGGAGTTTCTCCTAGAAAATTAATCTCTTAGAGTTCCTTCTTATGCTGCTGGCCGTGGTCAGGGTTTCTTGTAGTTCCACCATAGAAACAAAGTGGTCTGGTGAATTCAGAAATGGACCAGGGTCATCATGATTGATTGTTTGGTCCAGAGACAGCAGCAATAAGACACATATACGCCTGATAAAAAAGAACATGATAAATGGTGGGAAGTAGGATTTTGAAAATGCAACTGTCTTGTGTTTTAAGTAGAGTAAAATTTTTATAATATCCCATATATGTGTGTTGATTGTAGCAGGAGAAAGAAGATAGCACCGATTCAGAAATTCACTTATGCGGTAAACTTGAATTATATATGTATTTCTTGTCCCTTTCCATTAGTGCCTTCAAATACAACAGGGTCTTCCCAAGGCTGGGAACATGCAGGCTTTCCAAAGCAAGAAGAGAAAATCATGTCAGATGTCCTCTGTCCCTTTATTTATCTCTATTCTTTTTTTTCTTTTTTCGTGGTCAGGGTGGGGGAAGTTACTGAATTCTACCAGAAACTTCCACTTTGACATTGATAAATTTTTAGCAGAAAGACAGGATATTAATAGTATAATATGGTATAAAACCCCACCCAAGATATGGGACCTCATTGTTCCAGACAAAAAATAATTTTATTTCCATGATGATGGCTAAGGCCATTATTTAATTGAATAATGAAATGATATTGCCCCTACCATAAATTTTTTTTGTTCTGGCTTCATGTGAATAGACATGTTTGTTGCAGAGAACTTTGACTGATATTACAGTGGGTGTGTAGGGACTTCACTGAAAAACGAAGGTGTCAAAGATGATAATGGGAAGTAGTATTTTCTATCTGTAAAAATGATATAGGCATTTAAGCTTCATCATTCTCCTCTACTGGAATTTTCTTTCTCCCTGTGAGGCCTCTAAATAGCTATCCATGACATATTGTTCAGAGTTGTTAATATCTTTGAAATTTCAGCTGAATATAGGCTGTAGATGGGATTGTCTTTAAAATACAGGATATCTGTCCTTCAACTCACATGAACCTACTAATGCTTTGTTTGAAACAAAGAAAAAAACCGAAAACTCTAACCAAATAAAAAATGACAAAACCCCCAAGTCCACTACACCCCAACCAAACAAAAACCTGTGCCCTCTGCCTCTGTCCCCAGGTGTTGCTATTATTGTTGAAATTAGCTGGTGGATGCTAGTGATGGAAGATAATATCTATCTAGCTTAGGATGTATAATCTGAAGTTGCTTTTTGAGAATGTTAAGCAGGGTGCCAGGTCATTGCTGTTTTATGGAAGCTCTTGTGCAGAACCAACCTTGTGACTTTGCATCTGATGCATACCTCCAAGGAGCTATATAGGCCCACCAATTGCTTTCAAGTTTCTTTTGTGTGGTGGTTTTTTTTTTTTCAGCTTGTAATGACAGGCAGGGCAGGCTTTTCAAGATTCAAGCATAGTTTTTTTCATAACAGTAAAGACATTGTACAAAACAAAAAGTAGAATCTTTGTAAGTGTTCTGAAACATAAGTCTGATCTCCAAGGAAATTCAGAGCTGTAGCAAGAAGTATTTCAGTGTAACTGTCACATGGATATTGTGATTGCTTACTATTTTTTTGAATAATGAATTTAGCTGGCTATCTTCCTAAATGAACACAGATTTGCTTATTCAGATATGTTGTATGCTTATTCAGACATGACGTAAAACTAACCACGTTATTAAATGAACATTCATTTCTATATGAATATTTGCTATGCAAACATGGCTTTGCCCACACAAGATACAAGAATATCATTAGGCTTTAAATCTTCACCTTAGTCATGCCTGGGAGAAAGGTGGATATTGAAGTAGCATTGTGTGAAGTTCACCACATTCACGCTGCGATGAACCAAGGAGAAAAGGCAACTTCCAAAGTGAAGAATGTTTTGAAAGCATTTTCCAGTTCATTCAAAGAGTAACTCACACCTTAGATATCCAAGAGCCCTAGTAACACCAAAAGGAGAGAGTGGGCTTAAAGTGCAGATCTTAAACATTGCTTGGGTGTCTGTTAATAGTAAGTTTTAAAAGTTACAGAAGAGAACTATCTGTTTTGTTTGAATGAAATACAGTTGATAAGTTTCATATTCTGCATTAGCTCTGATGTGCAACCAATTTGAAATAATCCCTATATACAAATATATGTGTTTGGGTATAGGTGTATATAACATGTTATCTGTGTGCATATATATGTTTATATAGATATATATGTATGTAAGACATATATCATAAGGCAGTAACTAGATCAGAAAAGAAAAAGAAGTATACTTAGCAAGTGTGGTTGTAGCTAGTAATTGCAGGTTTCTTCTTCCCACACTGTGAAGCAGTCCAGTGCTGCCCTGTGGCTAAGCCCGCAGGCAGGACGGCCTGTTGCTCTTGCACAGTCACCCCTTTTGCTAGCAGTTCGTTTAGCAGAGGGCTTGCTGTTCCTCAGTGTGCCTGGGCTCTTCAGAGGGCTCACCCTTATTCTTTGTTTATTTGCTTGGACAGTTATGGCAGTGCCACCACCAGCTTGGTTGTACGTGTGTGGAGTGGGGAGTGACAGTGTTTCTCTTCCCTGACAAGCCTTTTCTTTTCAAAAATCTCACATGGAGGATCTTTGCTAGTCTATCAGCCCTGCATGGTTCCCACAGGAGGTAGAACAGACTTTTACTTGCCTCGCTCCAGTCCCTCCCAGTAGCTGGTGTTTGGGGGACACGCTGTTCCCACCCCAGCAGCTGGTGGCCAAGACCAACACTTGCTCCTGTAGCTCACATCACAGGCCCAGGGTGTATGCAGCCCAGTTTGACTCTGTTTGCTGTCCCAGTGTCTTCTCTTCTCATGCTGGTCTTGCCAGCAGCTGGCACTTGGTCCTTGCAGCACACACCCTTGCACAGCACAGGATTTCTGAAGAAGCTAGAACTGACCACCATGTTGAGGCACAGGACTCAGTCAGACAACCATGGTGACTGGCCCTGTTTTATGTGCAGCTGGCCCCTTCTATAACTCTTCCTGTTTGTTCTTCACGTTGTTCATCCCCAACCCCGTTCACCTTCACATGCCCTCATCAGCTGATGTGGTTCCATGCACCCCCCTCCAACACTCTGGGCCCTCGGGTTTGTGTGCTTATCAGTTGCAAAGTCCTGTTTTGCCCATAGTTTCTTGATAGCCCTTCGCCCAGTGTGCCTGACCAGGTTTCTTTCTTGTCTTCATGTCTGTAATGTTTGTCTTCAGGTTTGTGTCTCTGTATATTTTGATATATTTCTATATCTTCTGTTTCTCTTGTCATCCCATTTAACAAGGTCCTTCATCAGATAATCTTACTGAAAGAAACACTCACACATTTCCCCATACCCTTATCAATAACTGGGACTGAGCAGGTTTGGTTCTTGTTACTGCCTCCCTCCGTATTTGTTGGTTAGGGTTGTGTCCCTGAGTGTTCTTCCTTATGGCTTCTTCCTCTTCCTACATCCCATTATCCCCTTTTGCACTGAGAAGATCCTTGTCCAGACACCTGTAAGGGAGCAGATGCTCTCTCCTTCCGCATTACTTTATACTGGTCATCAGAAGTTTTGTGTATGTTAATTTGCCATGTATAAAATTAGAAAGGAGTGAATAAACATAAGCCTTTCTGGGTAAAAGTCCAGAGTTAAATATACAAGTAGACATATATAGAGAGAATTCTGTTGCTGGTTGGCTTATGAGATTATAATGTTATTGAAGGTGCGGTGGTGACGTCCCCCTAAATGTCAGAGATACTAAGAAAATATCTGAATTAAAAAGAGAAACGAGGCTTTGATTTATAAAAAATAGTTAACAGCCTGTGCCCTGTCAAGAGCACATAATGATTATGAATCAAAGGGGAAGATGAGTCACCTTGACATTATCAGGTTTAGACATCTTGTGGAGAACCTACTCTGATGTTTTTTGACCTTTTCAGTTTCATTTAATTGTACTATATATGACATTGGTGGTGTAGAAATAAATACGACTTGCATCAGTGGTTGTTATAGAGACAAGACAGGTAAGATGAGAAAACATGTTTTCTTTCTGCTGTTCAGGTTGCTCTGTTAGAAAAAGCAACAGATGGTGCAGCCTCTTAAAATTAACTTGTGATGGCCCTTTTTCTCTGATAATGACAACTTTTTGTTAATTGCTTTATTTGAAATCTGTATTTGAAATATTTGATTTAAAATATTTTACTTCTATCTTCATAATAGATGAATGGGCTGCTTTGTATAAACATTGCTGTCCTAGTTTTGTTCATTATTATGGAATAATATGCACAGAATAATTTCATATGCTACTTTTCTTCATTTTTAGTGCAGGGAGGAGTTTTTGCAAAGGCATTTGAGTAAAATCCTGCCAAATCTGGACTTCTGTATAATTTTTTGACATGCTGAATTTTGCACTTAGTGTCAGAAATTCTAGATGAGCTCATCCAGTGGACATCTTGTTGCAGAATGGTTTAGCTGTAATAGGAAATTAACTAATTTGTGTAGTTGTACATTTAATTTCTCTAAGCGGATAAAAGAATTACACAGAGAAGGAGCTCTTTTTGTATGACATACACCTTTCAGTTCTTCCTCTGCTGCATCCTGCTGTCCCTTCAAAACCTTTTCATTCATGTCAGTTGTCTGGGTTTCCACTCAAAGGCCTGGTGGCATCTTTATAAGGTTCTTGTTCTCCAGGTTTTGTGTAGATGACAATGCCATGAAAGAGACAGTTATACAATGCCAATTAGTATAGTTGTGGGTTTCATTATCTTTCAGGGTCTCTGCTTTCTTTTGCCTGAGGGTTTTGCAATCCACAGAAGCCTGGTCTGCTTTACTGTCAGTCAGTAAAGTGCAGTGAGCAAGGGCTGTATGTGCCTTTCCCCTCTTTCTTTCCCCACCCTATATGCCTTTAGCCACTTGTTATTTAAGTAAATTATTACAGGAAGACACTGATATTTTAATACATTGAAAATAATAGTTTGCAAAGAGATCTGAATTTGTGCTATGTTTAAAAGCACCTTGTGTTTAAAATTAATTTTTTTCTTTTTTTCTTGATTGAATGCACATGTGTTTTTGAATTATGCTGAAAAAAAAGTTCCTGTTCTGTTTTTAGGAAGAATGATTTCATTAATATGTATATCTGCTCTGTGCCTGTTCAGGTGAAAGGAGATATCTCTAACATAAGCATAGGTAGTAACTTTTTTGCTGTAAGGGTGGTCAAACACAGGAACAGTTTTCCCAGAGAGGTTGTGGAGTCTCTGACCATGGAAATACTTGAAACCCAACTGGACATGGTCCTGAATGACCGACTCTGGGTGACCTTGCTCTAAGCAGGGGGCTTGGGCTAAGCGATCTCCAGAGATCACTTCCTGCCTCAGCCATTCTGTGATTCAAAAAATGTTCACTACTTGATTTATTGAAAGTTTATGTTTATAACTTGTAAGACAGGAAAAAACCTAGGTTGTGCTATTTGTATTGGATCTGCCATACCCATGAGGAAAAATACAAACGCCTGAATTTCTCCTATTGGTGTAAACACAAGTATTTAAAGTAATGAGCATTTTATGAACTATGAAATATGTTAACAAAAAAAGTAGAGTGCTTTGTAAATTGGTTTTGTGTATTTAGAAACAGTTGAGTAAGATTTCTTCCCCCTTTATCAGTAGAATTCATTTTAAGGAGTATTATTTCACTTGCTGGTGCATAGACAAGTTCACCTTTAGGTCAAAACAATATTTCTTTTAAAATATGATATATGGATTTCTTTTATCACAGTTTTAATCATTAGACCTGTCAATGTATAGTGCCTTGGAGCATTGATTCAAAACTAGCACAACTCACCTAATGTGTTTCCATCTGAAAACTAGCGAATGGATCTTAAGTTGAGTGAAACCACCTTAAAAACAGAAGACAAGATGCTTAGTTTTTGTCTGCTTTCTCTAATTTTGATGTATTTTTGGTGAATAGATAACGTTTTTTTCAAAGCAAAAATCTTTAGACTAATTTAAAACTGCTATAATAGCAAGTTCTTGCTGATACTTTCTGTGTAGGTTCTGAAAACTTTTTCCCTCTATTTAGATGTAAAGCTGTGGAACATCATTCTTGGCAGATATCAGGAGGGTGCTGGCACAGCTTTGCCTTCTTGTCTGACCAGTGAAGTATAATTTCAAGGCTCTCTTAATGCTTATTAGGATCAACTGCAGAGGTTACTTAAGATTTTTTTTTTTTTAATCGATTGTAGCAGTGTCCGTCTCCAAATTTGATGCTGATATCTTGACTTGGAGTACACTAGGACTTACTATTATTGTTATGCATATGTGTAGCTTATTGCTGTGGTGTATAGCATAAATTAAACACTACAGTGAATGTTTTTTTAGCAGTATAATTAAAGATATTTTTAAATGCAGCTAAACCTTTGAAATAAAGGTGAATAGTCAATGTGATTTTGGTCTATTGTTTTAGATGGCATTAACATTGAAGAAAATTGTCTTATGAAACTATACACTAAAATATTGAATAGTAAAGGTGTCTAATGCTTATTTTCTCCCTTTTTTTATTTATTCAGTGGAACAAGTTCCTGTGGAGCCCTACAACATTCCGCTGTCTCAAGCTGAGGTGCTGCAGACGGGCAGTGATGTGACACTGGTTGCTTGGGGCACTCAGGTCAGTAAGGCTCTCAAAGCTTGTTGTCATCCAGTAAAGCCTAAGCTAAGGGTTGGCGATGCTTGAGTAGTCTTGTGCTCAGGCTCAAGTGCCAGACAATAAACTGCATGCATCTTCGATCACTATATACTTGAATAAGTGATTGCCAGTGTTTATATGAAACCTGCATTTTATTGTGTAAGTTTTTACTCATTTTTGGTTGAAGCTGACTCTGGAAATGTGGAAGAGGTACCTGTGCAGGAGGTTAGTGATTTATCTGTGGTTATGAAAGTGATCTATTTAAGAATGGCATGGCAAGATGTGACTCTGAGAAAGGCAATGGGAAAGGAGAGTTCAAAGTAGTATGCTGAAAGAAAAGCATAGATTTTTACTGCACGATTTAAAGTGCAGTTTAGGGTTCCCTTTATACAGAAAGTTAAAATCCACTGAACATATAATACAAATAGGGTTTGACATAGTTTTGGTTCTAACAGTCATATTTCAAAGCTGTTAAGGACATGATTGGACACACCTGACCCCCACCCCCCAAAATTAAGATGTGCAAATATTGAAAAGTCTGATTTTAAAAAGAAAAAAAGGTTTATATTCAGGAATTATAGAAAGGAAATTTGAGTTTAGTCTGGAATTACCAGAAAAAATCTTTTTATTGCCTTTAACCTATAATTAAGAAATTGCTGTTTGGCTGGTCTAAGTGTATTTGAGAAGCTTTTAGAGGAGTGTTAAAACTTTCATTGCAAGAGTATTGAATCAATCTCTGGGGCTGTGCCTTTTTTTGGTGTGATTTTATTTTATTTTTTTTTTAAAAATTTTTGTTTGACATCTGTAATCTGCGGTGCTTTTCTGTGACAGTTTCCATGTCCTCAAGACTACTTGATCTCCTTTATATCTACAGTTATTCCTACTAGTCTTTGATACTTTGCACTCATATTGAATTATGGACTCCTTCAACATCTTCACTTGTACTCGTTTCTCCAGCAGAAAACAGTTTCTGCAGTTCTCCGTGTTCACTTTTGAAAGCGCAAATTTTTGCCGCATTTGGATGAAACCTTAGTGTTCAATTGAGTTGATAAAGTAATGGCTTGAAAGCTGACTATGGAGACTTAATAATATCCTGAGTTTATCCAGTAGGCAATAGTGCAGAGGACTTGGAGTAACATACTTCAGAAAAACCTATGTGCTTTGCAACTTGGAAAATGTAGGCCAAGTGTTAAGGCAGGTGGTTCTTTTGATATGAAGAGTAAAAGGACAGATGTCCTTTTCAAATCCATAATCCATATTTAGGGGCTGACCAAACTTTGGGTGTGGCTGTGTAATACAACCTGGGGACAGATGCTTAGCGCATACGCATTAAAGAAGTGTCTTCAGGACGTGTCAGGCTTCTGCAGATCAAATATGTTCAGTGAGTTTGTGCTGAGAGTGTTTGCAGGCTGTGTACATAAACTTGGAACTTGATTGCTAAATGTGCAACCAATCCAGAGTTTATTGTCAATAAGCAGAGTGATTGCGCGTACTCACTGGTTACTTCTTGTATGATTTCGGATGTTAGGTGGTTGCTTGGCAGCTGCTGCTCTGGTGGGGTTGACTGATGCTTGTTTTCCTGGGTGGTGCTAATGACAGGCGGTAAATGCTATTAGCTCCTCTCCTTATACCCTGTGAACTAGGTAAACATTCTCACTTACACATCAGAGAAACCGCAAAATCATCCATCCCGTGTGTCAAGTTGAAAATTCTCAAATTGTCTTATCGCAGCCACCAGATGTATTAGAAGTTTACACAAAAACACTGCAAGCTGTATTTTCTTTGTATTATTACAGTACTTCTACTGATTTACCTTTTAAAACAGTCCTTTGATGTTTAGCTATTCATAGTTGCATTATGTAGATACATCTTTAAATCCTTGATCGTCTTGTTTCAGCATAGATTTTTGCTCTAAGTAGAATTTAATACTGCTTTCTGACCCTCAGGCAACTGACCCTGCCTGACCATATCTTTATTGTTGAATTCTGTTGCCTACTAGGCCAAGACACCCTCAACCAAATGGCTTATTGGGGATCATCCTTGGCCTCCAATCCCTTACCTGTGCCTAGAAGTTGCTCAGTGGAGGTCGTGCGCCCCAGTCCAAACCTGTATTATGAAATGTTCTAACAGTAGAGAAAGCATCAGAGTTTATTGACAACATCATATCGAGAAATTCTTTTTTACCGTCATATCTCATGAGCAAATACTTTTTGCTGAGATATTTGTGGAGGATAATCTGAGTTATTGTCATAACAGCTGTTATTTTCTGTGTTGGAGCATTTGCTTGCTAATGTTTGTTTTAGCAATATGTTTTGCTTAAAAGTTTTGTATAACATAATGTCAAGATACAGTTTTGTATGTATGTAGAATTGCTTTCTTTTCTGTTCATATAACATACCTTATGATTTTTTTTTTACGTGGTCCTTACTGTCCATCCTAACTCTTCATAAGAAAATGCTTTGGAGATGATCACTTAGTAATCTATTGCACTTTCAGTAAATTGTAGTAAGTGTAGTTACTAGGGCTATTTTTGAATGTACGTAATGTTTCTTGCAAGATTTCATGTGACTGCTACATCAAAATACATTATAGTGATATATTTAGGTCTTAGCTTAGTTTCAGTCCTAAAAAACCTTATCCTAAACCCCAAACTGATTACAAATATAGAATCCTAGGTTGGAAAAGACCCATAAGATCATCAAGTCCAACCATCTGCCCAACACCACTATGCCTGCTAAACCATGCCCCAAAGTTCCACATGTACATGTTTTTTGAACACCTGGTGACTCAATGACCTCCCTGGGCAGCCTGTTCCAATGTCTGACCACTCTTTCAGTAAAGAATTTTTTCCTAATATCCAATCTAAACCTCCCCTGACACAACTCGAGGCCATTGCCTCTCATCCTATTGCTAGTTACTTGGGAGAAGAGACCAACACCCACCTCACTACAGCCTCCTTTCAGGTAGTTGTGGAGAGCAATAAGGTCCCCCCTCAGCCTCCTCTTCTCCAGACTAACCAGCCCCAGCTCCCTCAGCTGCTTCTCATCAGACTAGTTCTCTAGACCCTTCACCAGCTTTCTTGCCCATCTTTGGAGATACTCCAGCCCCTCAATGTCCTTCTTGTAGTGAGGGGCCCAAAACTGAACACAGTACTTGAGATGCGGCACTGCTGAGTGCAGGGGCACGATCACCACCCTACTCCTGCTGGCCACACTATTCTTGATAGAAGCCAGGATGCAGTTGGCCTTCTTGGCCACCTGGGCACACTGCTGGCTCATGTTCAGCTGCCTGTCGACCAGCACCCCAAAGTCCTTTTCTGCTGGGCAGCTTTCCAGCCACTCCTCCCCAAAATAGTGAGGCCTGATACTGTTCACTAAAATATAGTTTTCTACTAAGATACAGTTTTGTTTTCAGCAATTCATCACTGAATTTAGTTTTTGAAATACTAAAATACTAGGAATCATGTAAGTGGTAAATAAGAAGAAAGAACTGAGAGATAAATGCTTATTAGATTACTGAATAAAAATGTTTCTGCTAAACATACAGATAATATGTTAATTCACTGCTTGTATTCTTTATGCGTAATTTGTAACATTTTAAACAGAAATTATATGTTTACTTGGTGCTAATACGTTGCCTTTTCAGGTCCATGTGATCAAAGAGGTGGCAGCAATGGCTCAAGAAAAGCTTGGTGTGTCCTGTGAAGTTATTGATCTGAGGACCATCTTACCCTGGGATACAGAGACCGTTTGCAAGGTAAGGAAATGATGCAAGTAAGTTTAAAAACACAACAAACCAAAAAACCCCACTAATAACAACAATTTAAATGCAAAAGCTGATGACTGTTCTGTAAGTTTTTTTAAAGGCCTGCATTTTTGCTCTGTATTGTTCTGTATTTTTTGTTCGGTATCATATATGTACAGTAAATACACATTACATGGACCAAACATTTGCTTTAGCATTAAAAGAGACTTTGTTCAAGGGTTCAAAATGATGTTAGAATACATGCGCTTTGCACTGGAGCAGAGGGCAAGACTTAATCAGACTTGTGCTTGAAAACAGCTTTTCCATGATTTCAGTCACTTTCTATCATCTTTGCTGTATTTGGGTCTGAAAAGATCAGGTGAAATCTTTATCTTTTTTTTCCTGCTGTTTTACACCAAGACCTTTATCTAGTTTTAGGTCTGCAATACTGTGTCTTAGTTTTGTTGATCCATAAATCTGGAAAGAAATGTTTTGATTTAAGGTATATGAATTCTTGGGCTGGGGAGAAAAGGCAGCATTTACTATTCTCAGACTGGTTTGAAATTTACAGGTACTGTGAAGTTCTTGTCTGCTCTATGGGACTCTTTGATTTTGCAAATAATTTCTTTCAAAGCACTGGGCAGCTGAAACTGGAATTTGAATTTCCATATACCGAGAAACCATGAAAAGTGGTTGTTGTACTTCCATATACCTTGGTCTGCTTATCTTTTTTTTTCTTGTGTACTGCTTTCTCTTCAGCAGCTAAGAGCTATTGGGATGAAAGACCTTAAATGAAATGGAAGGGGATGTATTTCCCAAAAGTTCTGTAAATGTAAGAAAGAATCCCAAGGTACATTTTTTAAAAGTGCTTTTTGGGAAACTAGGAACCCCCCCCACCAGACAAACTGCAGGTCACTAAAGCAAAACCTCGTATCTGGAAACCTTGTATCCTGATTTCCCCCCTCTTAAATAATATCTTTTTCCCTGTTGTCCTGAATTAGCAACTTTTTGTGTGCATTATTTACAGTGCATGTAATCTTTTTTTTCATCATTTTTCACTTACCCATTTTCTGAGGTACTTTTAATGTTGTAAATACGTGAATAAACTTAGTTTCTGCAAAGTAAATGTTAGTATCGCTACCTTGGGAAAATCTTGTAGATGGATCTTTTCCGTAGCTACCTCATGAAATTTGGTCTGAAATCTCTTCCATGAAACTATTTTTTGTCAAGCTGCTTGGGAACTGTGGGAGGAGGGCTGCTACCTGACTGCCATCCAACAGTACAAATGCTGGGGAACGTGCTTGTGGACTGCAGTGCGCTGAAAGATTCTGCAGGTGTTTTTGTCTTTCCATTATTTACATTGTTAACAATTAGAGCAATAGCCAAAGGTTTACCCCTCACTTCACGGTGGTGGCTCCCTTGATTTAAGCTTGGACAAGTTGTGTGGGTTAGCAGAATGCTTGCTGCTTCTACTAGAGCTGCGAGTTTCCTTAGGCTGGCAAATCCATGATCCTGCAGGACCGTGGTTAACAACTCCTTAGGTCCTAATTCAATCTCTGTACACCAGCTCATTTTATGCTGCTGATCACATCATTCTGAAACTTGAGAGATGTCTGCAGCTTAGCTAACTCAGGCCTAGTGACGGTAATGTACTGAGTTAAGATAACCATAGGGATGAGAAGAGCCATGGGCTTGAAAAAGGTGTGTGATTCTATCAAGTACCTTCTCTGCCTACAGTTTCTAATTTAAGGCAATATGGTATCATATCTACAGCTAAGTTAGATTGCACAGATGTTTAAATAGGGCAGATCAGGCACACCTCCTTATCTGACTCTCTATATATTTGGAGTATCATAATTGCATAAACAAGTGTTTTGTCATTCTGTAGTTGCTCAGTAAGGGACTTTCTCTTGGTCAGGTAAAGTATAAACAGATAAAGTGTGATAAAGGGAAAGACGAGCCGTTGTTCTGCTACTCTATGGCAAAACTTGTATTTCTCCACAGCATGAATTTTACTGTTGTGTTTGGCTGAGGGACTGCTGGTGGGACTGGACGGAGCAGATTATGGGAGGAAAGATCCGTGTTGGGCGTCCGCTATTGGCAGTGTCCTGTTGTCCGGTTGTGGATGTGTAACAAGTTGTGTACTTACATGCATAGCTATGTGTTGCTTCACATAAATATGGTCTTCTCAGTTGAAGTGTTTTCAGTGTTTGTTTGAAGTGCTTTTCGTGTTGCTTGGATGTACTTTCTATCTGTGAAAAATGAAATGTGTTGGGTTGTCGAAACTTTGGCAGTAATAAATCCTTTACGACCTCTTCTAGACAAGTAAAATTATTCCATTTTTTTTTAGCTCCTTTTTTTCCCTTCTTTAAAGATTTGATCTGTCATTCTATGAAAACAAATAATCTCTTTGAAAGAGCAGTGAAGTCTGTTTTGTTGGATTGGACCTGCACTGAAATGCCGTCAGGAAAAAATGCAGCTGTGCATGGGAAGTGCAGAGCTGTAGTTGTACAATGTTTTGCAAATCTGTACTTTAAAAATAGGTATTCCATAAAGATTTTCAGCTTACGTTCCGTCCTGAACATCTTTTAAAGGTAAATGTGGCATAAATAAAAAGATGAATCAGATAGATCTGTTGCTTTAAATCTATTGATGAGTTTACTATTAAGAATTAAAAGAGTTATTTCAGGAGAAATATAGCGCACATTGGCTAGGCAGTTCAGCTGTTTATTATAACAAATATCAAACAGTAGATGTTTCTAGCATTGCTCTTATGTTAGTATGGCTGTAGGCTGGCCAGTCGGATGGGAGAAATGTTAAATTATCTTCTGTACCTCTCATCTGTTTTGCCCAGCTGAAAATAATTAGTGGTTTGCATTTGGTACTATGCAACACTGAAACTTTTTAACTCCGTTTGCATCCTGGACAGCTTTTAAGGTAATCGCCAACATAAATAGAAGGACGGAAACGACAGCTGTAGCTGCTTGCTTGTAGCCTCATCCCAAGAGAACTGCTTGGTGCAGCTGTTGAAGATGGCAGTGGCTTACAGGGTCAGTTCTGGTGGTGAGACCTGTTGTTCCCTTCCTGAGATGCCAGTGTCAAGGACCAAGAGAGCAGTAGAAAAGTAAGCCATGCCAGAGAAAGTCATTGGCTGTCCATTGGTCTGCTTAAGTCCTCTTTGCAGGCTCTTATATGATAATGGGATTGCTTTTACTCCAGTCCAATCAACAAACAAATCATCAGCTGTTACAGGCTGCCCTTTGCCTCAGACTGTTACTTATGTCAGATAAGTCTCAGGCCAAGTTTTTGTGGTTTTCCTTTGTTTCACATATGCCTATCATCTCCTTGTCTTGTTGGACGCAGAGGAAAAGGATGGTGCGTGTGATACGCTGCAACCTTATTGCCGTTCTGCTGGTGCTGGGATTCATGGTCCTCTGCTGATGGGAGTCTCTGCTGTGATCTTATCGGAGAGCAGGACTTTGGGTTTTGGTGTAAAAACACATCTGTCAGTGTTGCTTCTGGGAGTGGTGGCTTGGGAGTGCAGGCTGTTGTTTTAGTCCTTGGCCTGCTGCTGCTTTCAGTCCCTGCACACGCACATCTCCTTTCACACGTCTTTCATACCAGTCTGAACATATCTGTTACAATTCTCCACGTTGTTATGATTCTCAGGTCTGCTGGCTCTTGCTAGAAGACAGGGAGCCTTATCTAGCTTCGTGTAGGCTGAGTGACTGTTCCTAACCATGTGCCTAACATTTGGGTTCACTGGTTTCCATGTGGGTCAGTGTCATGAAGCTCTAATCAAGGAGCTGGATTTTACAGAAGTAGTATGCATTTTCCAGTCTAATATGTTTCGCTCTGCAGGCTTATTTTATTCTTATGCTTATCCAAGAGATACTGCATTTTAACGTAGAAATATTTCTGTGAATTTTCCTTCTCAGTGCATGTAATTTTTAAACAAAATCAAGAAGCCTTCATGGTTTGTGTTGGGCAATGAGCAGGCCTCATAACCTTAGCTTAATTGTTACTATCTTTAGAAATTAAATAACTTTAACACTAACATTTTCAATGCAGCTATTTAAAAATGAGATGCTTTACTTAACTGGAAATATATGCAACTTTAAGACTAATTTGACAACTGTGGTGTAGGTGTGAAGAAGGATGGGCTGAAATGGTTAGTGCCTTGCAGATGAGCAGTAGTATGTCAAAACTGTTACTGCAAATCTGACTGTTTAGTCTGCTTTCAGTAGCTGTTTCTATATAGAAAATTGTCATCAAAATATGTATTTCATAAAACTATGAGAAGTTATACTTCACAACTGCCACCAGAGGCCTCTTTTTAGCCAAGTTAAGCAGCTACTTTGAATTTGCATTGCTCCTGTCAGCGTGTTTATGAATACATAGCTCTGAGTGAAACATAAATAAACATTAATAATAAATATAGTGCATGTAAATAAAAATTGCTGACTAATTTTACTGATATTTTCTCTGCATTTTTAAGATTTTGAGATGATATTTAGTTTGGAAATAGGCTAGCATTTGTCATCTGCATGAGAAGCAGATGAGAGTGCACCTGCCTGGAGTAGACTGCCACGGGCTTTGAATGGAGCCTGGCAATAACTGAAACCTTCTCTTCAGTACAGCTCCTGGGATGGGTAAATGTGCAAACAGGAGCTATATTTTCTTTTGCCAATCTTCAGTTGTCTGACCATTGGAGTTTGAGCTAGTTACGGTAGCTCATAGAGCTGTTCTAGAGAAAGGGTGTCTCCTGAGGGTCATTCATCCCAGCTGTTTCAGGAGCCTGTTTTGGGATGAGATAAATTGACCTCTGGAAATGTTTGGTTTAAAAGTGTTTTGATTTTTTTTTTTTTAATAGTTAAGGGTTCCCTGATTGAGTGTGGTGTAAAGTCAGGTGAAATAATCGCACCCTCATTGTATAGGTGTTTAAAAAACTGTCTGACATCTCTTTGCTAGAATAAAAGCTAAGAATCTCTGTGTGTGTATATTTGTATATG